TGGATGGATGGATGGATGGATGGGTGGATGGATGGATGGACAGATGGATGTGGCATTCCTCAACAACAATGGGGTGTGAGAAAATCTCCACCTTCAGAATCCTTATATTCAGTGGAACTTCTGTAAGTTGACCACCCAAGAGACTGTAACAAGCTGGTCATCATCCAGAAGTGGTCAAGTTAACACATACACACATGTGGTGCATGCCCAGTCTATGAAAATTAGGTCAACTTAAGGATGTGGTCCATGCAGGGAGGTGGTCAGCTGTGGAGGTTCTGTCGGTCTCAGTTGCAGAAGGAAGCTTATCTTCCTGTCATCTCCTCACTTTTTAGTGTCTTTTCTCAGCTCCGTCTTATGCTCACCTACATTCTCACCAAGCTATGGGAAATGTAGGCATTTGAATTCCCCTTAGTGATGGCCAAGTGGAATTAGCCATTGACAATTGGACTTAATTTTGTTGTCATACCTGGATTGTCAGAGCAGCCGTGCAGGCTGGGCCTCAAGGTCCTTTCTGACACTCTCAAAGTGGGAAGGACGGTTAATATGGAATTATTATTCAGTCCAAACAACATCTCACTCATCCCTTCCCCTAGTCAACATTTATTCATTCACTGGATATTTACCAAAAGCCCACTAGGCACTAATCAAGTTCTAAGTGCTGACGATACAACCATGAAGAAGGCAGATAAGGTCACAGCTCTCCTGGAGTTTGTATGAAGACAGAAAAATTGGCAAGATGTGATGAGGAGGGCAGAGGGACTACGTAACATCACATGTCCCTCCGTGTTTAACACTGTACCTTAAATACCTTAAACATCCCATGGTTAATGCTACACCTTAAAAAGTTACTTGGGGTGTAAAGGTGATATATAGTCTATGAGAAGATTGAAAAATTAAGAGAGTGAAAGGGAGCAGAGAAGAAAGGAGGAGGGAAGAAAGAAGAGGCAGGAGGGAGAGGAGGAGGGCTGCATCGCCCGAGAGCAAGAGGAGCCCTTGGGAGAAAACCAGCTGAGGAAAGGTCCCCAGGGCAGAGCTGGATGGGGGGCTGGAGAGTGGCTAGGAACTATGATGCAAACCATTGCCTCCACTTCATCACTCTGGACCTCGTCCTCTGTGAGCTGTGCTCCAAGAAAATAAAGAAAGGGGGCTGTGTTCTGCGCTTGGGTCTGCTTGGGAGTCAAAGAAAGGTTATGAAGGGTTCAGAACCTGAATCCAACAAAGATCTTAGTAAGATCAGGAAGTCGAAGCTAGGGAGACTGCTATTCCACGAGCTCTCTGAATGTGTAGAAATCGTGAATGGACACTTGGGATCCCACTAGACATGGGAGGGGGACCCAGCCAGATTAATATAGATCTCAAAAACCAGCTGGCATGGAATCACTCTAGAGAATCAGTGCAATGGTGATAAATTAAAGCAAGTACAAGAAGGTCTTGGGGGTGCCAAGAAGGGGAGCACTAACTCATACCCATGATGTCAGGAAAGGCTTTTGAGAGGAGGTGACTAATAGCTGTAAGATGAGTAGGAATTAGCCAGGAACGGAAGAGTATCCTGGCAGCTAAGAAGGGCGGGAAGAATGTTCCAGGTAGAAGGAACAATATGTGCAAAGGCTTAGAGGCGAAGACAAGCTTGATTTGTCATTTGAGGAACTAAACTTAAGTCCAACTGGACTATATTTCAGGTTGAAGTTCAGGACCAAGAAAGACGGGAGGGAGGTTGGGGAGGGAGGTTGGGAAGGGAGGAAGCAGCCAGATTTTTTAGACACCTTCTAGGCCATGTTATGAAGTTTGGGCTTTATCTGACTAGCAATAGGGAGCCATGGGAGGATTTTGAGCAAGACAATAATTAGATTTGCTTTTTAGGGAAAAAAAATTGGCACTCACTAGGAGCAGGGAGCTGAGAGGAGGCTGTGGCAGTGATTGTGGGAAGAGCAGTGGCGGGGGATAGGGATTAGATATGCACTAGAAAGATATTTAAACAGAATCAACAGATTTGGTGCAGTGGATTTCAAGAAGGGGGTGGAGGAGCTGGAGTATCAGGAATCAAGGGTGGAGGGTGATGCCTTGAAAGCACCAGGGGAAGAGGAAGCAAGTAGCTCCTAAGGAGAAGGTGAGGAGGTATG